TGATTTTGATTGAAAACCAGAGTGAAACAATAACATTAGGCGATTAATCCAGAAAGCCCGATATCTGCATAGTCGAAATCCAGAAAGAGAAAAGGAGGAAACGATTTTAAAAGAAGCAATAAAGAAGGATATGACTTTCAAATTAAAACGACCAGCACAGTGAATGTATACACACACACACACACACACACACACACACACACGGCACTTTATCATGGAATTTCAGACACCCAGAAGTAAAGAGAGGACCCTAAAAGGGCAGAGAATGGGGATAGGTCACAGAAAAGGATAACGAGCTCGTGGGCATCAGACTTCTCAACAGCAACACTAGAAGCCGAAGAACAATGGCAAATGCCTCAACATTTTAAAGATGACTTCCAGCCTAGAAGTTCATGCTAAATTCACCCACACGAGGGTAGAAGACAGTTATCTGGGACATACAGGCAGGCTAGCTGGGCCCTCTGTCCTCTTAGTCGACTCCGATCTCAGAAGGTGGGATGGTTGGTGACGTGCTTCTGGAAGCTGGTCTTCCAAAGGGTGGCGGACGAGGAGACACCTGCATGCAGCTGCTGTCAGGACAGACCGGTGTGTAGGGGCCCAAGCAGTCATCCCAAGGCCGGCTCCCCCAAGGGGAGTTTGGAATATGGGGGCATTTGTCATCATAATTGCTAGGGGATACTACAGCCACCTAGTTCCCCAAGGGCCAGGATGCTAACTGTCCTGAGGGCACAGGACAGCCCCTCAAGAAAGAAATGTCCGCCCTGTAATCCCAGAAGCACATCTGTGAGAAATGCCGAGTCAGACCCTTTCTCTGGCTTCCGCTCTGAGGCTGCTGATTTCTGAAACGAGGCTGAGGGGGTACAGAGAGCTGGGAGGGGGTCCGGGGGGCGGGGGGTGAGGAAGAGAAGAGAGCTGAATTGGAAAGGATGGAGAAGAGTGAGAAAATTCCAGGACGCAGGCCACAGTCTCACGAGTCTGCAAACACATTCTATGTGATGATTTTGGATGACGCTCACATGCATAAAGGCTCTGCCTTGTCTGTGCCCACGTTCAGGTCTGCACCCTGTCACCATGCGTTGTCTGGACCACTGCTGCCGCCTCCCTCCGGGTCGCCCTGATCACAGCCCCACCTCTGGCCCTCCACCACCACACAGTGACCAGAGAGGTCTTTCTCCAGCCCGGCTCCCGTGGCGTCACTCCCTGCTCGGAAGCTCTCGCTGACTCTGCTGTGGGCTTTGCCCAGCCAGTCCCTCCAGGGGGACCCTAAGCCTTACTCCTCCGCTCACTCTGCATCCTCAGTGCGGCATCGGTGTGCCCTGATACAGCACTTCCCAGGAGTCCACGGGCCCTCACGGGCAGGGACTACTTCTGGTCCATCTCTGGACCTCCAGTGCCCAGCGCAGAGCCTGGCATGTGGTAAGCACTCCTGTGCACTTACTGATGACAGTTGACCCATTTCTTCCTCATAGGACAGCTGAGCTCAGAGAAAGGCCCCAGGTGACTTCTGTACCAACCTGAGCAAGGGTCCCACATCCTCTGGGCACCCAAGTCCTTCATGGCTTTTCTGAGTCACAAAGGTCATGTGGCACTAGGCTCAGCATGGAGCTGTGAGCTAAGACCCCTACGTATGGGCTAGTCCAATGTCTTCATTTTGCAGACGTGTAAACTGAGGCCCCAGAACACAACATGGTCCCCCAGCCTCCAGGCCAGCGTCCTGCCATGAGTGATGGGGCCGGTGGGGGACTGGCGACTGGCTTTCAGATGAGGGGAGTGCTTCCGCACACGACCTTCATGCTCCCCTCCGTGGACGCTTCAGTGAGGCCGCGGGGATGGCGTGGGAGAGAGGCTGGGAAGGCCGCCGGAGGCCAGTGGAGTTCCCAGCCTTGTCTCCAAGCAATGAGGAGCTATGGAAGGTTCTGGGAACAGGCCGGCTTGATTGGAGGGGGGCCTCAGGCTGAGGAGAGGTGGGAACTGCAGGCAGGGGGCCCCTGAAGGAGCAATGCTCCTGCCATCATCAGGATTTATGAATGCCCACAGCGAGTGGTGCTCAGGTGTGCCTCACCCGAACAGCAAGGTCTTTGCTGGGAACTCTCTCGGCAGATGTAAAAAGTGAAGGGGAAGGTCCTGGGTAGAGAATCTGTCCTTGGGTTCTGGGTTCTGACCCCAGAAAGGGTCAAGAGGTCAAGGGGGTGGCTTTGAGTAGTGGTGACCGGAATTGTGGGTCCCACCAGTGGAGGCTGAGATGTGAAGCCAGGCTTTGGAGCTGGGGCACAGAGCTGGCCAGCTGGGGGTGACCCAGGTCACCCAGGGGGGCATCGGGGCCAAGACTCTGGACCTTGTCCTTTGTTTATAATTCTTGTTCTTTCCATATTTATTTCCTTTTGTTCTACTTTAAAATTTAGTAAAATGTCTTTTTTTTTTTTTTAATTTCTTTTCCTTTATTGATTTTAGAGAGAGAAGAAGGGAGAAGGAGAGAGAGATAGAAACATCGATGTGAGAGAACATGGATTGGCCGCCTCCTGCATGCCCCCAACTGGGGATCAAGCCCACAACCTGGGCATGTGCCCGGACCAGGAATCGAACCGGCGACCTCTTGGTGCCTGGGTCAATGCTCAACCACTGAGCCACACCGGCCAGCCTAAAATGTCTTTTTAAAAATCCAGCTTGCCTCAGCTCACTCCAGGAAATCACTGGTGCTTGGGGGTGTCCCTGCTGGGGGTGGGGGCAGCCTGCAGAGGAGCAGCCCCCGGGGCCAGGGGAGTAGCAGGCCCCAGAGGGGCAGCGAGAGCTGCTGGGTCGCTGACTCTTCCTGCTGGAAGATTCTCCTTTCACACTTTATTATGGGAAGTGAAAATCTCACCCTCTGAGCGGACTGCAATTTTTGGACTCAGTTTGCTTCTACAAACCACAAATCTCCTTGATTTTAATACCATTCAGTACACAGTTCCTCCCCAGGCACAATGATTTAGTTTTTCAAAATCTGAAGTAAAAATGCAGTGGTTTAACGATTAGTCAAGTTAAAAAACAAAACTGTCTTTCTGCACACTGACCTACTAGTCTAAGGAAATGACAGGCAGACTGGTTTCTCTGATTGCATCCACTGGGCAATCCTTCAAAGGTCAAGCCCATGATCCCATCTTCAAGTATTTTCAAGTATCCTGACATCATCTTCTGAGACTGGGCCCTCTGATGGTCCCTGCTCCTGTGAGACATCTCCCCAACCCTCGTGGCTGTGATGTCCAAAGTCTAGAGAGTTGTTTGGGAATGAGCCCCTGGCCCCGTCCCGGACCTAGTGAATCAGAATAGTGGGGTGAGATTCTGTGACTGAATGTTTAAGTAGCACTGCAGGTGATTTCAATCAGGCAATCCAAAGGCCACATGAAGACCACTGCTTTACTGGTCTGTTCACACACACACACACACACACACACACACACACACACGTATCATTTATTAACCATCTACTCAGTACTAGGGTCTTTACTAACGTTATCTCTTTCCATCTTTATACCAACCACAGCAGGTAAGCATCCCCCATTTTTATAACCAAGGAAACAGAGGTTAAATAACTCCCAAAGGCCACAGACTGGGAACGGGCAGTGCAAAGTCCATCCGACTCCTCAGCCCTCAGCCATGTCTCCTTCTCACTACCCGTTCCCTCTGGAAGGGCAGACACACACCCTGGAGGAAGCTTAGCGCCCCTCCGGTACTTTCTTCCTGGCTTGTCTTCACCAAGGTCGAGGCTCTCTCGTTATGGCCACCAGGGAGCACATTCAAGGTTACATGCGGAACCTCCAGCCTTCTCGAGCACCTGGTGTGTCAGACCATGGTTCTCCCAACCGCTGGGGACCTGCTGCAGAACCGACAGTGCCTGGGCAGGAGGCGTGGGCCAGGCGGGACAGACCCTGCTGGACACACCCAGCCTGGGGGTACAGTCGGCGACTGGCTTTCAAGCAGTCCCTGAACCCCTACGAGAAGTGGACGGTTTCTGGGGTCTGGAAGTCAGCCCCAGGACACCCGTGCAGCAGACTGCTTGAGCCGTAGTGGAGTGCCAGGCGCGTGGGCAGGGAGGGATGTACTGGACTCATCGCTGAGGGTGCAGCCTGAAAGTCCCGAGCACAGTGTTCCAAGTTCTTAGGGAGGAGCTTCAAGGAGCCGAGCCAGCCTGCCTAGGATAAGGTGTAATATTTGAGGGCTCTATAAAGAACCGAGAGGGGGAGTCCACCCTTTCTGGAACTTAGAAGAAATCTTATTGGGAAGAGGAGCTTCCCCAGCTGGACAAGAGGTATGGTGAGCCAAGAGGCCATCTGGGGCCAGAGGGCAGTGATGCGCATGTGGCTGGCACCTCCAGGCCCAGTTTCAGGGTCGCAGTGACAGCAACTGATGCCAGCAGGTGCCATGGGCAGCGCACCTGGACCCTGAGGACGCGGGGTGAAGGGAGCCAGGAGGAGGCCGGTAGCACCCAGGTAGCAGGACTGGCAGTCAGCTTCCCCTGGCCGAGGGACATGTTGGGGGTGGGGGCAGACCAAACAGAGGAAGAGTTTTGCTATGAATCGGCCCGTCTTCTGGCTCAGGACTGGCAGGTCTCTCCTGCTTATTTACATACACTCGGCAAGTGACGGTGGAGTTTACATTTTAAATGGTTGGGAAAATCAAAATGATATTTTATGATACATGAAAATTACATAAAGTTCAAATGTTAGCGCCCCTAAATAAAACTCTATCAGAACACAGTCATTCCAATTTATTTGCGTATTATCTATGGCTGTTCTTGTGAGACCGTCAGAGCCTATCCTGTGCGGGGACCGTATAGCCCACAAATCCTGTCCTTTATTAAAGGATTGCTGACTCTCGAGCCAGAAGTACCCTTAAAATGTCCCCCGTGAGTTATGTGTCAAACTGGTTTCCGGGATGGCTGGATCAGAAGCTCGTCCAAGTGACCCCACAAGGCTGTGCAACGTCCACTCCTTGTCCCGCAGGTGCTGTGCTGCTGCGTGTCACCGGGCGCTCCTGGGGGGAGGCACTAGTCTGGCAGAGAACACACACCCTGAGTGAATGTGAGCCTGTCGTATCCCAGGCAGGCGAAGCCCCAGCTCCTGGACTCTTGGTCCCCTTGGGGAGTGGGGACCGGCCCTGGGGCTCATGCTGGGGAGGAATATCTGAAACAGCAGCTTTGGAGAGAGAAACGCCCCTTCCCTGCCTCTTTGTGTATCAACACCATTATGAGAAATGTGCGATCCCAGCAAAACCCGCAGGTCACACGTTCACAAATGAGCCTGCCACCCTGGAGCAGGAGGGTTCTGGGCCTTTCAGCCCTAGGTTCTAACTCCTGGGACAGGGAAGCTGTTTGGTGAAGGGACAAAGTCATTGCTTGCATAACGCGTGGCCCATCGCCCTCCAGAACCATATCTCTCATTCTGGCCTGAAGTTCGGGGGAACTGTGTGAATTGGCACCACCTCGGGAGTGAGGCTAATTGGTGGTTAGTGGGAATTATGATGATATTGCAACCCATGGGCCAACGGGCAATGGGGCAGGCTGCCAGGACAGAGCACTGGCCGGAGCCCCAGGCTCTCTGCCCAGTTGCTGGGCATGATCCACACCATCTGGCTCCAGGCAGGACACCGCTCAGCCCAGTCTGTGGGCTGCAGCATGCGGCTTAATGTCGCTGAGCCGTGGTTCCCGGTCTCTTAAGTGGCAGGGGGTGGGGAGAGACAATGCTACCACTTACCTGGTGGAGCTGTCAGGAGCAGTGGCGGTAGTATAGGTGGCACTGTAACTGGCCTTGGAGGTTTCAATAAATGGTAGCTGGTGTTACCGTTTGTTTCCTAACAGAGCTGAAGAATCTGTGGCACACATGTTAATGCTTTCAATACCACTTAGTTTCTCTTAGCTCTCCAGGCAGACTAAACTGCTGGAGGGCAGAGGATATCAAGCTTAGATGCCATCTATGAGGCCCTGGTATTGGGCTTGGGGCTTTATATCAAATACCTTGTTTCTTGAATCCTCAGCAACCCCACGTTGATGGGCAGTGAGCACGCAGGGAGTAAGGAGCTGCATCTGGACCTCTGCGTCCAAGGTGCCTGCTGTCCTCACTGTCTCAGAGGCTCTGCCTCTCTGGAGCCCTCCTCCTCTCTCTGACCCCTTGTGCCCTGCTAGGTACAGAACTGGCGCTCAGGCAAGAGGCTGGAAGCCTACCTCCCAGCCTCAGCGTCCAGAGCTGCGCCATCCAGCCTCTGGTTTGACATTTCCTGAAATAGGGGCTGCGCCTGACTCAGTAGCAGCCAAAATTCAAAGGCAAAGAAAGACTCCTTTTCCACTTAGCATCTAAAGTGGATGGAAAATGAAACTGCTGAAAAGCTGCCTCTGTTCCAGGGCTGGAGAGGGGCCCTTCTGCTGTCCCGGTGCTGATCCTGTGAGGGCCAAGGAAACTGACCTCTCACATTGGGGGAAGGGACAAAGGGCACAGGATACCAGGTACATGGTGTGGACCGGAGGGGAGGGAAGAACCCCAGAGCACAGATGGACGTTTGCCTGGGATCCTGAAGTAGCAGGGGTGGTGGAGAAGCCACAGCTGCCAGGAGGCACTCCTAGCTGCCCGCACACGCCCCTCCCAGCCTCCGGCTCACAGAGCCAATGTAAAGATGCTTTTAAAAAAGTCCTTTGCCTTGCTGTAGTGTTTGTTTAGGGATAAGATGGCCCACTTCCACTATATTTAGTGCATGAACATCTACAGGTGTTCAACTCTAGGAACTGCTTGGGTTTTGCTATTGGTTTTGAGTCCCTCCCTCTGGGTTTCATTGTTCCACAGCCGGGCCAGCTGGCTCCCCAACCCTCCTGCACAGGCCTGCAAACACTCCTAGCCCGCAGGTAGTGCCAACACCCCTCTATTGTGTAATGTCCCTTTGAGGAAAAAGGGCAGGCTGTTTCCATCTGGGTTCTAATTTAAACCTTTCTGCCAACCTCAGTCCAGTATGGGCACCCTGTGCTAGCTTAGCTTTGAACTCATCAGTTTATCTGTCCCTTTGGTCTCTGTTTTAATGTTTACTAACCACAGATCGGGAGGTGTGTGCAGTCCTCTTCCAAGGCCCGTCGGAGGCGGATGTTTGCTCTTCCATGCTTCACCCACGTGCTGCCCTGTAAAATACACGTGGAAGGCAGACTCTGCCAGCTGTATGAAGTTTCGGTTTCCTCTGGACACTTAATGGTCCCATCTCTGTGCTGTTAGGAAATTAAATGCTAATGCTTAGCACAGGACCTGGTGCTCGGTGATACTCCTCAAACGCATTAGCGAGCCTGCAGTAGGTGCCCCACCCCAGGCCCACCTGAGTCACAAAGGGAGGGTTGTCTGTGAAAAGCTGCTGGCCTGTCCAAGGAATTCCTTTCCTGTATAAGGGGAAGAGGATCTATTACCAGGCAACTCAACACCTCTTTGGCCCTTGAGAGGGGCCCGGCACAACAATGAACTTTTATTTGCGTGGGGAGGTACGGTTTATAGAGTGCCTCCAGGGTTGAGGTAGTGGGAAGAACGGACCCTGGAGTCAGGTCGCTGTGCACAGGTCTGCCTCTCACAAGGGCCAGGTGCTCAGAGCTCCTGGCCCCAGCTGTGAAGCAGGAGCACTGCTGCCCACCGCCCAGATGTCTGAGGTCCACAAGCCACCCACACGTAACATGGAGCTGGCAAGCCCCAAGCCTTAGTCGAATATGAGCAACTGTCCTTCCATTTTCTCCCGGCTTTAGCTTCCAACAGACCTGAGCAAAGGTTCACACATGACCCATAATGAACGCACTAAAATTGTTTAGAAGAGTCTGCGAAAGTCACTGTTCTGCGCGCGCTCTCTCTCTCTCTCTCTCTCTCTCTCTCTCTCTCACACACACACACACACACACACACACACACTACAGCCAGCTCTGGAACCCTCCTTCCCAGGTGAGCATCTGAAAGAAGGCAGATAACTTTCTCCTAGGACCACTTTTAAGACACCCCCTCCTGTAAAAGGCAGCCTGGTGGTGCCTGGTTTTGATAAAAAGCTCTGGAGTTGACAGGTGATGCAGTCGTGGCTAGAACAGGTAGGCCAGATTGCTGTGAGCTAGGTGAGCAAATACCTACCTGGGCATAAAATAGCCTCCCAACATGGCCCAGCGTCCCTGGCTTTTTGACAGCATGCACAGGAATCTGCTTGAGAGGGATGCCAGTCGCGTGGCTGAAAGACTGTGGGCCATCTGCCCGGCCAGCACATTCTTCTAGACAGCATTTATCCCAGAGGGACACGCCTGGGATACAGGAGCAAGCGAGGACCGGGAGTAAGAAGCCAGCACTGTGGGCCCCGCTCTGCTGTTGCCACCTGGGAAGGCAGTCACTGGACCTCACCAGTGACCCCTCAGCTTCTGAGCAGGGGTGGCAGGTGGACCAGATGCTGACCACGGTGCCGTCCAACTTCTTACTATATCCAAGACTGGGATCCCCCCAGAGGTGGTCTGGTAAGCCCTCTGAGGTCCTATTAATGCTCTTAGCATCTTCCAGCAGACAGTAATCCCACATGACAACCAAGTCTGTTACTGTCCCACCCAAGTCACTACTTGGACAGCAAAAGAGAAAACATCGCCCACTAACTGAAAATACACTTCTGGAACCCTGCAGATACTGGTGCTAAGGGGCACCCCGCTCCAACGCTGAGTTATCCACACTCGGAGGTGACACGGGAGAATTTCCATTACAACACCCAAAGAGAAAGTCTGTTGGGGTATTAGGTGGGTGGGGAGTTCAGGAGAATACACTGGCGTGCGAGGACTGGAGCTGTTAGTACCGACCTTGTTCAGGAGGTCAAGAGTTTATGACCAAGTGTCAGTGGCCAGAAGGTGACTCCTCATTCTGGGGAACTGAGCACCACCACTTCCCACGCATGTTGACCTGCATGTAATATTGGTCTGGACAACGCCTGGACTAAAATGTTTCCTGGCGTCACAATGAGCATTACAACACATCCAGGTTAACATCCAGGATTCGGCCTCCTGCTTGCTAGTGGCCCAAGTCCAAGTCCTCCAGGGACAAAGACACCGAGTCCAATGTTTGAAGCACCAAATCTCTGCCAGTTGTGTGGGAGGGTAGGCAGGGGACAATGAAACAAGCAGGTGTTCCCACCGCTGGTGAAGAACTGATATAGCCCAGTAAGTGCTCGAACAGAAAACGGCAGGCAGGAGAAGGGGGTGGGGAACCAGAGCGTGACGTCTCATCTAGGGTCTCGGGGCTCTGCATGGCGGGGCGCCCGGAAGGGGCGACGTGCTCTGGAGCGGGAAGAAAGCCTGCTTCGCAGAGTAGGTAAAAGGCTGGAGTGAGCCGTGCCGGACTCCTCACATTCTGAGGTCTGACTTCTGCCCTTGTGCAATAAGGTCTTCAGCAGGTTTTGATGGTTGGGAGGGCACAAGCATACCTGTTTTAGAAAGAGCCCTTGGACGAGATAAGGAAAATAAGAGGCAAGTGACGAGACTCATGAACTAGCCCACGCAAGTGCTGAAGGCAACACCAGAAAGCAGAATCAAGGAACACTGCAGAAGGAACACGCAGTACGGAGGAGGAGGAACCTGGAGTTGGCTCAAAGGCAAACAGAATAGGATCGTAAAACTGCTCTTTGATATGGGCCCAATCCTGTGATCACGGAGGGAGAGACAGTCACTCCAACCTTCATGAGCAGCTCTAGATCCGCAGTCGAGCCAAGGCAAGGCTATGACGACAACAGAGGAGGTCAACTGTAAGGCTGCACACCCAGCAGGACGGTGCAGGCTGGCCTCAGGCAGGGCTTCCGAGGAGACGGTCACTGAATGACACTCTGGGAAATGATCTGGGAGGGGCCTCCGCTCTGGCCGCACTCCAGAGGGTGCTTGTCCTCAGACCGAACCATTTAAGGAGCAACAGGCAGGCTGAAGACAAAGGGGTGAAGGATTTCTACACAAAGACATATGTCTTTTGATGACAGTTACAGAAAATACCATAGGAGTTCAATTCAGTGCAGAAGAGAGGCCATGGAAGGGGCAGGGCCAGGGATGCAGAGGGGTTGTGTACTGGACCAGAGGAATCAGGAAGCAAGTTGGTCTCATGCAAGATCTAGTCTCTCCTTACACCCTCCACACATCGATCAACTACTCACATATCACTGTTCACTTCTATGCTTCTTTTAAAATGTGAAGAAACCAAATAGCATTTGTATATAGCAAAATTATTTTGGTTCTTACTGAAAGGGGCTTGGGGTTGGGATCAAGGTCAAGCTCACTAGGACCTAGCTGTTAGCACAGAATCAAACAGGGTACCATGGAGGAAGATTTCAAGACTACACCACTTGGCATCAGCTGAGGGCTGTGGTGGATACAAAGCTCAGTTTAAACCAGCTGGGCACCTTGAGCAGAGCCAACGTTATGGGAATGATGGGCCCGAGGTAACCACACCACCCCCAGAGAAGCACCCTCTCTGAGGAGTGCCAGGTGTTACTTCTGATAATCACCCACCTCCACGCAGCATTTTCCCTGACACCTAAGATAAGTTCATCATTGAAGAGACACACAAAGAAATGAGCACAGTAATGTCTCATAACTGAGAAGGTTTTTGAAATATATTTTTATTTCTCAAACTTAAAGCTCTATTTCATCAGGTTCTAACACATTTTGCATTGACAAGTGATTTTACCTGCTTCACATAAGAAGGTCAGTGACCATCACACCAGAGAGGAAGCCTCACGCACCCCAGGCACCACTAGAACATTAATGTTTCAAAGGCTATGCAAATCTAGAGTAAAAGCTTCCAAATTAGTCTAATGAGTATCTTACTCTTTACCTATATTAATTTGGAAGTTAATGGACAAACATACTTAATTTTCCTAAAGCAGCTATTTTTTTAAACCATTAAAAAACAAAAACCAGATGGCTTGAGTTTTAAAACACCCACAGATCCATATTCTATAACGACTTCCTCTTCAGTGGATGGTCTTCTCACCTCCTATGCAAACACTCCTGACAGTCTGCGCCGATTCTCACTAGCCCAGGCAAAATTCCAAGCATTTTCTTTTGCTGACACTTAACCTATTTTTTTTTTTTTAAGTGATAGGTCAACAACATTTAGAATTTGAACTCACTAGAAAAAAAAAAAAAAAAAAAAGCATTTTCTTTCCTGATCCTCACCTTGGAAGTCTCCACAAATAATCCCAAAAATTTGCCAGGTTTTTTTTTTTTTAAATATACCCCCCCACCCCCACCCCCACACACACACTTCCCCTGGTCCTCTGAATGTAACCAGCTAAACTGGAATATGTTCCAAAGTCAGCTGTGACATTCTGGTCTCTGCCAGATTAAGGGTAATTTAACCTTGGCAAATGCAAGTTCTGTCACCTTATAGAACCCCCCGAAGGGTTCACCCTAGTGTGGAGCCCCAGTCAGACACCCCAGAAGTAATGGCCCCAGTGAACATGAGGGGCTCTTCTTACAACTGGTAACTGTCATTTATTCTCAGGAAAAGGACATCTGAGCTCAGAATCTAGCTGCACCCTAAAACCAAGCACCAGTACCAGACAGTCAGCTAGAAGAGAGGGCTTCTGAAAGTTAGGAAGTTGCTTTTGAGTGGCACCATTTCCCAAAGTTAAGAAAGCAGTACTAGTTAAAGCCCTCACCTACCAGGAAGGTTAAGGGGCCAGGGCTGGCGGAGAGGCTGAAAGACAAGCAGATTTGGGCTTTAGCCATTTGTTTATTAATGAGTCATCACCAAAAAAAAAAAAAAAAAGTCACCAAAAAACAAAAACCCACAGGTTCATGCACAGCTCACTGTAACTCAAATCTTCAGGGAAAAATTCAACAGGGTGTGTGTGGGGGGGGGAGGGGGGGGGGGACACACACCAAACTACATTTGTACATCAGGAACCCAGCATTTTCCTCCCGACTCCCCCATCGGCCAGGCCTCCTGGGTGTGGTTCATGCCACATCCCGCATGTGGTCAGCAGGAGCCCTGATTCGAAGGCGTTAGTGATACGGAGTTGGGTTTCCGAGATCCAGTCATTGAGTGAGGAGCAGTGCCTTGCTGCCAAGGTGAGATTTAAGGGTGAGACTGATGCTCTGGGCTGGGAATTTAGTGTGTTCCCTTCTCCCAACACAAGGGAAAAATACTGCTTTAATCTCACTGCTGCTCAACCTGACGCCAAGAAGCAGGGCAGGGTAACCAGCTGCACACTTGTAGAAAGCATCAGAAAACTGTTCTGAGCCCCGAAGCAGAGGAGACTGCCTAAATGTATATGAGAACTTGAACTTGAACTTTAGTGCCCTTGGCCTCTGCCAAGTTTCATGTTACTCAACACAGAGCAGAAGAACCACTGGACTCAGCACGAGTTCAGAGTACCTGGTGCTTGTGAGCAGCACGAAAGGCTGGTTTCGGCTAGAATTCCCAGACACCTGAAATTCAAGGTTACCTGGTCTATTCTGAGGCGGGCAAAACACTCCTAGAGCAGGTGGAGACACAGCGAGGCCAAGGTGGTGTTTCAAAAGTGCAGCTTTTTACCCTGATGGTTCTCAAACATGTCACTCTGAAACTCCAAAACGGCCGGGCCGCCTAAGAACTTCAGGTGAAGAGACTCACCAGCTGGCCGTCAGGCAGCGGTGGTAAAGAACCAGGGGGCTGAGAATTTCTGGCATCTTCTGTCTCTCCCTTCCTTCTAAAGAAGGCCTAGTACCAACTAGGAGAAAAATGAGCGGAAAGAGCTCGAAGGACAAACTGAAATTTAATTACTTGCTGCAGCTGTGGTCCTGTCTTCATCTGGAGCCTGACTGCCCTGAGCCCCAAGCCTCCTGGTTAGTGCAATGCTATTGGCAAGTGCTTTTGTTGGCAGCTTCATCACACTCACACTTGGGGAAACAGATCTGCCATTTTGGGGCAAACGTGTTGCCATCTGACCGCAATGGCAGTCTTTAAGGTCACGGACGACCATGTCGTTTTTAAAGTTGGGATTCACTCTTCATTGTCCCCCTTTTACCACTGAAGCACCCCGCCCCCACCCCTCCAATGCTGCACCAGCCTTGACTCAAAGCCAGTGAATTTAAATATGACTGGCTCACAGGGAAACAGGAGCTGGTTACACTAAGAAGTGGCTTCTATTCACCTAATACAGCACAACCTGGAGACCAGCTAAGCCCTGGGGCTCAGCTATGCCCCATCTGCTTTTCAGGAGACCAAAACATCACATTCCAGGAAAAACTTTGAAAATACAATCTTCAGAAAAGAGCAAACCACTCCTTTTCTATTAAGCATATTTTGCATTAAGGTAACTTCATTGCTTATTAAAGCAAGGAAAAGCAATCACTCAGGGCTTGGGATTTTTATGGCTACAGGAGAAATTTAAAATCGGGACCACGGGTTAGACTGAATAACTTCAGAAACCAAGCTGGCTGGCAACACTTTGTTTCTTTGCCCTTGACACCCTAAAGTGATGCTTGCTAAGAGAACGCACAAAAAGTTTCAAAACACAAAATCCCTTATTTAATCTACCGGGAAAGCAACAGCCCAGAACTCCCCCATTTACTAAGCTTGCTTTAGACTAGAGATTAATACTGTTTTCCTTCTAAAGTGCAGAATACAAACAGGTATGGTCGAATCTACCAGAACAAGGATAATTCTTCTTCATTCACTCAGTTCTTCCCGCAAATACACCAGAGGACCACGCAAGGTGCCTCAGCCCTGCCGTTGCACACAGGCCCGACCGGACGCCAGGCCTGCACCTCACGCACAGCACAGGGACAGCGGGTTCTTTTCTAAAGCAACCGGAAGCCAAAGAGCTCTGCCCGCAAGCGCGGACCACCCACAGGTCACTCAGTTCTACTGAAATTCCGGGACTCATTGGCTGCCCAAAAAAACAAAAAAACAAAAAAAACACCTAGAGGAGGAAATCGCTCCTTTTGAAAACAACAACAACAAATCAGCCCAAGTACTCCAGAAAAACAGCTTGTCATACTTGGAATGTGATCAAAATGGGTTTCCAATTAAAACACGGGAAGACCCTCACAGGTCAGTTACTACGAGGACCCCCTAGACTTAGCACACTCCTAGTCTTAGGAAGAGAAAAACAAAAGCGATGAGCTGATGAGGAAAAAAGAAGTGTTATCCAATAGGAATTTCTTCAAGAAAAAACAACAACTGAACATTCCTGTTTCCTATTTACATCATCCCCACCACAATTCTATTTTAACATTATGTTGCACATTTTATTTTGTTTTCAAGTTATACTTCAAGAAAAGATCTTCTTTTCCCCCCTCAGCAATATTTCACACAATTTCTCATGATAGCACAGCATCTAAACCATAAACCACTTCTAACCAGATCTTAATTCTCCAGTTATAGGCTTTGGTTTATTGATGAAAATAATCCTCAGCTCTGCTGACAGGGAATAAACATAAACAATGTAGTCCTTTGAACCAAAAAAAAAATTAAGTCACAGGAGCACCCTCATGTTTACAATTTTATGCCTGACTAAAATTGATACAAGAAAATAGACCATCCACACAACTTTCATGTAACTGAGAACCCTGAGTGAGGGCCAGCAGAGCCTGCTCCAGGCTCGAGCGAGCAGACAAGTAGCTGACTACTCTACGCCGCCCAGAGTTCCCCCTCTCAATTCCCGCACAGAGCTCAGGTCCCCTGCGCTGACGTCTGGGACATGACCTGTTAGCGGCTATGTGGGAAAGATGTGGACAGACCATACTTCCTACAGCATTTTCCAAAGTGGCACTGGAATAATGGGTCCCTTCAGGGCTGGCTCACGATGTACTGCAGACCCATTCCAATGGGTACACACACACAAAAAAGCAGAATCAGAGCTGAGTTCCCCTTTAAAAGCCAAACACCTACATCTAGAAGGAGGCTCCCCTACCTGAGAGCCCTTGCCCTATGGGGGTTCCCACTGTGAAAACCCTCCGGTCTCAAGGTTAGTTGCAGGGCAGCCAGGTAGGGTAGGGCTGGCTGTAGGTCACTGGAGGTTGGGCAACGTAGTAGTTGTTGAAGTTGCCGTCGCTGACATAAGGAGCTGGCTGGTAGTAACAGGTGACGTTGGTGGCGCTGGGGATGATGTTCTGCTCGGCCAGCACGCGCAAGGCCAGGAGGGAGATGAGGTTCAGGGTCTGCCTCCGCTCGTGCCCCATGAGGCACACGGTGCTCTCATTCACGACCCTGCGCAGGGTCATGAGGTAGTCATACTTGCTCCTCTCTTCTTCGGCAAAGTGGTTTTGAAGGTAGGTCTCCAACTTCCTTTGCTGTTCCAGGATGTCCGGGAAGTCGATGAAGAACCTGGAGCACATGTAGCGCTCGAGAGTTTTGATCTCCTCCTGGTCTGTGGGCCGGAAGTCCCGCACGAGGAGGTTGCTGTACTTGAGCAGCCCCCCGCCCCTGATCTCTTCTGGGTTCTTGGTGGCAATCAGTCTGTTCTGCAGGTGGGTGAAGGCCTCCTCGAAGTCCCCGTACATGCTCTCCCCGATCACTGTGGGGTGGAGCTGCTCAGAGATGGGCTGGCTGGAGCAGTCGTAGAAGAAGAGCAAAGAATCCAGGATGATCTGGAAGGAGTCCACGCTAAACTCGAACTGACGCCGGATGGAGTCGACGAACTTCAGCTCCACGTTCCTCCCATTCTTGTTGGAGAGGGAGATGAGGCTCCAGCGGTCGGAGTCTGTGCACACCTTCACCAGCTTCTGCACATAGGCCTCCTTCAGAGTGACCGGGCTGATTTTGAGTGTGTTCACACCCTCCGGCAGGAAGTTCAGAAGGGAACACAGAACCACATCCCTGACCAGCTGAAATTCTACCTCGGTGGGAAGAGCCACGTGAAAGATTAGGTCTAGATCTTTGCAGCCCAAGCCGTTGTCTTTGACCAAGACGTGGCCAGCGGCAGAGCCGTTCAGCCGGACATCCTGCACTTTGATGCCTGCCTCCTCCAGCCGGCTGCGGACGGTCTGGACAATGTCCTTCAGAGTTATCTCCAAGGTCGGAAAGTTGCCTCGCCCGTGGATGGGTACGACCTCATTCAGGACCTCATGCAGCCGGCTGACCTGATCCCAGTTGAGCACGCTGAAGGACACACAGTCCCTGGTACTGTTGCTCTCCTCTGCCATCTTGGGGGATGTTCTTGCCAGGGAAACTGAAAGTGAGGGGTGAGAAACAGAGTTAGGATTCACTTCTAGGTGGCAAAGCAGCTCGAGGGACTCAGGGATGATGCCGATTTTTCTTTGAACCCTTTCCTGTAAAGCAGTGATCGATGGCATCTACTGCTGGGTGTTGCAGTGAGGACTAAATGAGTTAAGTACGTCAAGAATAGTGCCCTTCACTGAAGTAAGGACAAAATACACACATTGCCCTTACATCAAACTGAGAGCTTCACAATTTGCTTGTTTGGTCTGCATGAGGGTGGGGGTGGACTGTGCTGGCTTGTGTGATGGGAAGGAGACAAACTCATTACACCAAGTATCTTGAACACAACATATGGTTTGCTAAGTTTCCTTGTTTTCTCTGGAAATCACCTTCCCTGCTCTTAGCTACCTAACTGCATCTTGAACTGGTTGACACCTGTGCCACACACAGAAAACAGATCCACAAGAAAGGACTTCCTTCACCCTGTGAACAGATGAATTCTCAACTCTGGGCTACAACCACCGAGAAGAGGGAGTCGGGTCAGTCCTGTCGGCAACAACCCCATGTCCTTTTCCCTGTGGGGGTGATCTGCCCTATGAGAAACACTTTCGTCATCCAGGGTAGGTCCACGGGGTTGTTTCTGAATGACAAAGTTCCTGGGTTACAAAGGGTTAGGTCAGTATGTAGTGGGGCAGCTCTGCCCAGGAGGAGGCCCCACACAGCACGTGGGAACTTCCTCAGGGGGGCTCATCTTTCACCTGTATTTTGAAAAATAGTCCTTTAAACTCTCCAAGGAGAAGAAAGCGGCAGTCAGTGCCAGGAGAAAAGCATGGCACTGCTCCCACTTCACCTGCCAGAGCCACAAAGTCACCAAAGGAATTTTCAACTAAGTTATATTTGCAGAAAATGAAATGCAACAGATCCCTGGAAATCCTAACATATTAAAAAATACCGATATACAGTAAACCCTCAACTTTGCAGACCTCAATTTAACAGACAAAATTTCCAGTCTGTATGTCATATGTGAAAATTAATACCCTGTTAATTTTAAAAAGTTTTTAACCAATATTTGCTTATAAGTAAACAGGTTGTTATTATTAATTCACTGTTATTTTTAACAAATTTTAATGAATAGACTATATATTGGAAAAACACTGTAGTGATTTCGCCAACATAAATAAATACTACATATATATAACTATAGTCTACATATTTAAATCCAATGTTCGGCAAATGATTAGCACGTGATCACATCACATTGTGCACAGTCACTGGTTGTCTCGTGACTTTCTGCGGCAGTTTTAATGTGTGCCCACGAGTTCCCAGCATGTGCGCTAAGCCACGCCCCGGCCACGTGCACGTTTCCTCGCCATGACTGGTGAATGCACGCATGTACTAGACCTATTCAGTGTACATATAAATTAACTGTAATGCATATAGAAAACTTTTCTGTGAAATTAAACTTCTCATACATCATTTTAATTACACAAATGTGTCTGCATAAGTAAAAACAGGTACACTAAGTAATTTGTCAATTTTTTAACATACGCATTCACAAAACCTACTTTATTTATTTATTATTATTTTTAATCCTCACCCAAGGACATTTTTCCATTTTTTTGTTCAGATAGAGTGGGAGGGGGAGAGAGAGAAAGAGAAAAACATTGACGTTAAAGGGACACATTAAGTGACTGCCACCCACACAACCCAACCAGGGCTGAGGACAAACCGCAACCAAGGTACATGCCCTTAGCGGGAACCGAACCCGGGTCTCTCTGGACTGCAGGCCAACGCTCTAACTGCTGACCCAAACCAGCCAGGGCCAAAACCTACTTTATTATATAACAGATTTTCAGCTTCCACAGACACCCCTTCACCCGAATTAGTCCATTATATCAAGGTTTTACTGTATTACAGTGAAGGTGCCTGTGGAGCCACATGGGTCAAACATTAGCTACAAGGATGGAAGAGCTGAAATAAAAGGTCAAGGTGCTGTGCTCACACTTCACGGTGAGCAGTTTTCCCACCCCCTTCACCTTTCTGACATACTAGACACATGCAACATCCATCCCCATGGCCTCCACAGCTGCATGGCTTGGAAGCTGCAGCTTCTGAATGCACAGCCAGCTCATGTTGTCCTGGGGTTCCAGTTTGGAATTACTCTTGCCCTGGACCCAGGGATCCTTGCCTTACCTACGGCACCGAGATCAGTGGGATGGCTGTCGGTGTTGGGGCACCACTGGATGGTGAGCTGAGCTTTCCAGGAGCTGGCCATCACGAAGGTGGGTGAGAACACAACATATCTAAAGGCAGTGTGTGGTAGAAAGAAAATGTAATAGAAAGGTAGAAGAAAAAAGTGTCCTTTGGGGTGAACAGGAAAACCACTTATGGGAACGGGACACAAGACAGCTGAAAGGCAACATGAGCTTGAGGCTTGAGACTGGCCCCGTCTCCTCAAGCCAATCACAGGCTCCTATTGGCATGTAGGTTGAGAGACTGAATTTACTTGACTGGTGATGGGGAGGCTGAGCTCCAGGAAGGCGGGGCTGGAGAGGAGCACTCCTCTGCTTGCTACAGAAAAATACACGCCAAGGGGAAGATAAAAGTTTCCCCTCAACCTGTTTGGACAGTGTTAAGAAGTCGTAAGCTATGTGGATCACCCTACCAGAACATTCCTAAATTCAGGATACCAGACAAAACATGTGATGACATAATTGATGTTTCTCGTGACTGATATTTGGCTTCAAGTCAGATTTGGGACAGTAGTTTTCTTTCCAATGTGCTCTGTGGACACTTGGTTCTTTGTGGCCCCGGGCCCCTTGTATGAGCATACACAGGGCACTACCCAACTAAGTTCAAATGATCACAGGAAGGTATGGCGCAAGCTTTGTTTTGAGCCATTGCTAAACTACCTATGACTGGGTGACAGATATGCTGATGTACCTGTAAAAATATAAATGGGGAAGCCAAAATCCAATCAATACTTGGAATAGAAGGAACAATTAATTTTAAGAAAATCTCCAGGAAGCACCTCAATCATGTTGCAGATAATAACTGTGGGAATGGCTTTTGACTCAGGCCTTTCTCTCTAAGGAATTGTTATAAAATGAAGTTGTGACGAGTTAAAGTTAGGAATGCTCCTACCTCTAGAACATTAAAGGAGGGACATCTAAGACCAGCGAGAACCTAATGAAAGCTATCACTGGTCTCCTGGGGAGAAAAAGTACATACAAATGAGAATTTTCTTTGATTTTTAAATCTCTGACTTATAGTAGATTCAAAATTAGAATCTGTTTTAAACTGAGAATTTGTAAGGTTCATATGGGAGGAGGGGCAGAAATAGCCAGACAAGTTATGAAAACTAGGGATGATGTATATTAGCCCCGTAAGACATATTATGAAACCACAATAATTGAAACAGTGTGGTACTGGCACAAAAAGCATACAAACTATGGAAGAGAATTTTTCAAATCTAGAAATAAAATCTAAAAATAAAGGGATTTAGTATAAAATAAAGGAGGCATTTCAAAACAGTAAAGGGAAAAACTTGAGACATCTGGATAGTTATCTAGATTTTAAAAAATAAATAAGTTGGCTCCTTATTTTGTGTCAAACTAAGATCTAGATGAATAAAAAACTTAAGTATACTACATCCAACTAAAAAGCTTCTGCACAACAAAAGAAACCATTAGCAAAATGAAGAGAAGCCACTGTATGGGAGAACATATTTGCCAATGGTACATCTGATAAGGGGTTAATTTCCAAAATATATAAAGAACTTATACAATTCAACACCAGGAAGATGAACAATACAATTAAGAAATGGGCAAAGGCCTAGCCGGTGTGGATTGAGCACCATCCCATGGACTGAGAGGTCCGGGTTCAATTCCCAGTCAGGGTACATGCCCGGGTTTCGGGCTCCACCCCCAGTAGGGGGCCGTGCAGGAGGCAGGTAATCGGTGTTTCTCTCTCATATTGATCTCTCGCTCCCTTCTTCTCTGAGAAATCAATGAAAACATCTTTAAAAAAAAAAGAAATGTGCAAAGGACCTGAATAGACACTTCTCCAAAGAGGACATACAGATGGCCAATAGACATAAAAAAATGCTCAATGTCACTAATAATCAGAGAGATGCAAATTAAAATGACTATGAGGTATCACCTCACACCTGTCAGAATGGCCGCCATCAACAAAACAACAAACAAGTGTTGGCGAGGGTGTGGAGAAAAGGGGACTCTAGTGCACTGCTGGTGGGAATGCAGACTGGTGCAGCCACTATGGAAAACAATATGGTGTTACCTCAAAAAATTATACATGGAACTGCCTTTTGACCCAGCGATCCCACTGCTGGGAATATATACTAAGAATCCCGAGATGCCAATCAGAAAGAATATATGCGCCCCTATATTCACAGCAGTGAGATTTACAGTAACTAAGACCTGGAAACAGCCCAAGTGCCTATCAGTAGATAGGTGGATTAAAAAATGTGGTACATTCACACATTGGAAAATATGCAGCTGTAAAAAAGAAGAAAATCTTATCTTTTGAGACAGCATGGATGGACCTGGAGATTACTATGTTAAGCAAAATAACCAGTCAGAGAAAGACAGATACCGTATGATCTCACTTATATGTGGAATCTAATGAACAAAATAAAGTGATGAACAAAATAGAGCCTGAGGTATGGATACACGGAACAGACTGTCAAATGTCAGAGGTGAGGGGGTGTGGGGGTAACTGGATGAAAAAAGGTAAAGAGATTAGCCAAATAACATATATGCCTAGCCCATGGACACAGGCAACAGTGTAGTGATGGCTAGAGGGTGGGGTCTGGGAGGAGGTGGGCAAAGGGGGGGAAATGAGGGACATCTGTAATAGTGTTAACAATTTAAAAAGTATAAAATATGAAACCAACCCTAAGAGTACTAAGAAAAAACATGGAATTTATATACTTACATAATCCTTTCTAAATCATTTAATACCTGAAAGTCACAAAAAGAGAGACATTTG